TATCACTACGGAAGTAGATTGCCCAACCTTCCTTCTGAGGAGTGGCTGGTGGGTTTGAACTGCCAGCCTTCTGGTTAGCAGTCCAGTGCCCTAGGAACGATGTCACCAGAGCTCCACCAGCTTATTTCTTGATCTGTTGGGGTCGTAGAATCTGCATTTAGTTAAAAATAAATAACCATGGGGACAGCTCCTGTTGGGGACATCCCACGTGCACCGTGACCTGTGTGCTGGCCCCTCTTCCTGAAGCCTTCCCACATCCAGGCCCAGACCACCACACCCCGCCAACAGCTGACGTGACTGCTTCTCGTTTCCTGCTTCATGGTCAGGGGAATCCCTTCAGCTTGCCTGCCCAGGCTTGTCTCCCTCAGAGCTTCAGTTCCAGTGGCGTTTGCCCCTTCCACGGGGAAGCCCCGGTCTTCTCTTCCTCTGCTCCCCTCCCTGGCTCTGACTTTTCTCAGCGAGGTCCTGGGCCAGCTGATGGATCCACAGCCTCTCTGTCCCACTCTTGGTCTCCCCAGTCTTCCCTCAGGTATGAGAGCTTTCTCCTCCCCACCCAGCATGAAAGGACATGGCCCCACATCTGCATGAAGACTGAGCCACTTTTCTTGAAACAGGCACATCTGGGGCACTGACAGAAGTCTGGAGGGAGAATCAGGTCACATGAAATGAGCACCTGAGTCTTAGGCTGAAAAAGTAGTCTCTTCCACTCTTCGTGGGACATCCTTAGTGTCTCCATTCAGCCCGGCTCAGGAGCATAAGAGGGTCCCTGGAATTCATTCCTGCATCATTTTTCTTCCTGAAAGTAGGGAGGCCTGCTCTGTACCCCGGGTTAGGAAAAGCATCCTAGAGGTTTCCGGCTCAAGTGTGCTTTGTTTGCTCCCAGCCCTTCTGCAGAGCCACAGAGCCTGTGTGCGGACACAATGGGGAGACTTACAGTAGTGTGTGTGCTGCCTACTCGGACCGGGTGGCCGTCGATTACCACGGACCCTGCCAGGCCGTTGGGGCCCTCTCAGAGCACGGCTCTGTCACCGAGTGCGCTGCTGTGAAGTGTCCTTCGCTCTCAGCGACTGGGTGCAAACCCATCATCCCACCCGGTAGGCTGACAGACGGCATCACTCGGGGCTGCCCGGACAACACTGGGCTCTCTTAGACATCACCTGGGCCAGTGGTATTAAAACAACAGGGCGAACTTTTCACCAATAAAACCTTAGAGCACCAGTTTATCAACAGATAAAGAGGTGTTTTAACAACTAAAATTATGCTTCATTTTTATATGTTTTCTTGTTATAACAATGAATGATGAGTTAGTAATTAACAAATAGTGATTAAAGTCATTTTATGAACATGAACATTTAAAATGGGGAGAGACAGAGGTAGTCATTGTGTCTTAGACTAGCCTCAGCATCTGATTTAATTATTTTGATTGAAGAGAATCAGGAAAGCCTTGCTTGGCACAGGCAGCTGTGAGCAGCAGCAGGTGTTTTAAGCAGTCTACCTGTAATCTCACACTTGACTTGAACGGAGGGGGCAGAAGAGGCTTTATTCTGAGTCTGCACAGAACACGTTAGCCTGGAGCCAAGGTCATTCTTTCATATCCTCCATCATTCATCAAATAGTTACTGAGCTTCCAGGAGATGACAGACACTTTATAGGCACTGGAGACCCAGCAGTGACCAAAGCAAAGGCTCTCCCCTCCTGGAGACCACGTTCTGAGGAAGGAGACTGACCAGACTCAGGTTACTGTGTGAATGCATGTAGTCAGATGGCAACAAGCAGGACAGAGTGAAGCAAGGGAACAGGGAGGGTCCGGGTGGGGAGGTTGCCGATCTCTCGGGTTAAAATGTGATACCGTGTTACATTGGACTGTGCCACATTTGTTACAGCTTTTTGACAGTTTAAAGTAATTTTTAAAATTAAATTTGAATCAGACACTTGTGGATCCCCTGAGACCCCAACTCCCTCATTTTGCAAAAGGAAACACAGGCCCCAGGGAAGCACTGTCCAGGCTCACTCAGCAGGGTTGAGGCAGAGCAGGGGCAAAGCCCCACATCTCGAAACACCAGCCCTCTTGGTGCTGTCTTCCCCACCACGGCCCCTTCCGAGAAATGGTAAAGGGTGAGAGCAGAGCTGTAGGAAGGATTTGGATGAAAACAAGGCAACAATGGGATGGCATTGAGGGCAGCATTAAAAAAAAAAAATACTGGAAAGATCGGAACCCTCGTACACTACTGGTGGGACTGTAAATGGTACAGCCACTGCGGAAAACAGGATGGCACTTCCTTAAATAACTGGAAATAGAAATGTCATATGATCCAGCAATCCCACTGCTAGGTAGATATCCTAAAGAAATAAGAGCCGTGACATCATAAGATTTATGCACACCCATGTTCGTCGCAGCACCATTCACAATACCAAACAGATGGAAACGACCTAAATGCCCGTCAGTGGAGGAATGGATCAACAAACTATGGCACACAGACACAATGGAATGCTATGCAGTGCTGAAGAACAGTGATGAATCTGTGAAGCACCTCATGATATGGATGAACCTAGAGGAGCTTCCAGACTAAGGGAGGAAGGCTGGGAAGAAGGATGGAGCCATCCACTGCTGAAAAAAGTGACCACTGAAAACCTTATGAATCACAGTGAAACACTGTCTGATATATTACTGGAAAACTTTATCAATAGCCATGAAACGTTGTCTGATACAGTGCCAGAAGGTGAACCCCTCAGATTGGAAGGCACTCATGACTAAGGAAGAGCTGCCTCTTCACAGTGGAGTCAGCCTTAATGACATGGATGGAGTAAAGCTTTAGGGACCTCCATTTGTTGATGGGGCATAACTGAAAATGGGAAGAAACAGCTGCAAACATCTATTAATAATCTGAACTTGTACAAAGTATGAATCTAGGAAAATTGGAAGTTGTCAAAAATGAAATAGAATGCATAAAGATCAACATCCTAGGCATTATTGAGCTAAAATGGACTGGTGGTGGCCATTTTGAAGCAGACAACTATGTGATCTACTATGCCGGGAATGACAAGTTGAAGAGGAATGGCATCACATTCATTGTCAGAAAGAACACTTCAAGCTCTGTCTTGAAGTACAAGCTGTCAGTGATAGGATGATGTCCATATGCCTACAACAAATACCAGTTATACTATTCAAATGTATGCACCAACCACCAAAGCCAAAGATGAAGAAATTGAAGATTTTTACCAAATTCTGTAGTCTAAAACTGATCAAACACGCAATCATGATGTGTATTACTGGTGATTGGAATGCAGAAGTTGGAAACAAAGAAGAATTATCGGTAGTTGGAAAATATAGCCTTGGTGATAGAAATGACACTGGAGGTTGCATGATAGAATATTGCAAGACCAGTGACTTAATTCATTGCAAATACCTTTTTTCAACAACGTAAATGGTAACTATACATGTGGACTTCTCCAGCTGGAATACACAGGAATCAAATCACCTATATCTGATGGAGAAGCTTAGTATCTTCAGCCAAAACAAGGCCCTGAGCTGACTGTGGTACAGACCATCAGTTGCTCATATGCAAGTTCATGTTGAAGAAAATTAAAACAGGTCCACGAAAGCTAAAATAGAACCTTGGTTGTACACCACTTGAATTTAGAGACCATCAGAAGAATAGATTTGACACGTTGAACACCTGTGACTGAAAACCAGGTGAGTTGTGGGATGACATCAAGAACATCATACATGACAAAAGCAAGAGGTCATTAAAAAGATAGGAAAGGAAGAAAAGACCAAAATGGATGTCAGAAGAGGCTCTGAAACTTGCTTTTAAATGACAAGTAGCTAAGGAAAGTGGAAAAAATGACAAGAAAGAAAAAAAAGCCTTGAGTGGCAATACTGAAAGAGACTGTAAGCAAAATTTTGAATGGTGCAGGATGCATCAAAGAGAAGATGGAAGAATTACATAGAGTCACTGTACCAAAAAGATTTGGTCAATGTTCAGCTATTTCGGGAGGTGGCATATGATCAAGAGCCAATGGTATTGAAAGAAGACGGCCAAGCTGCATGCTGTGCTGGAGACACTCACTCAGTTGTGCCAAGAAATTTGGAAGTCGGCTCCCTAGCCAACTGACTGGAAGAGATCCATATTTGTGCCCATTCCAAAGAAAGGTAATCCAACAGAATGTAGAAATTACAAACAATATCATTAATAGCACAGGCAAGTAAAATCTTGCTGAAGATAATTCAAAACTGGTTGCAGCAGTATTGACAGGGAACTTCCAGAAACGCAAAGTGGATTCAAAAAAGGACATGGAATGAGGGACATCATTGTTGATGTCAGGTGATAGATCTTGGCTGAATGCAAAGAATACCAGAAAGATGTTTACTTGTGTTTCATTGACTATGCAGAGGCATTCAACCATGTGGATTGTAATAAATTATGGATAACACTGCAAAGAATGGGAATTCCAGAATACTTAATTGTGCTCATGAGGAACCTGTGCATAGACTAGGAGGCTGTCATTCAGTCAGAACAAGAGGACACTGCATGGTTTAAAATCAGGAAGCATGTGTCAGGGTTGTGTCCTTTCAGCATACTTATTCAATCTGTATGCTGAGCAAATAATCCAAGCAGCTGGCCTATATGATGAAGAACGTGCCATCAGGATTATAGGAAGATTCGTTAATAACCCGCGAACGCAGACAACACAGCCTTGCTTGCTGAAAGTGAAGATGACTTGCAACACTTACTGATGAAGATTAAAGACTATAGTCTGTAGTATGGATTATACCTCAACATAAAGAAAACAAAAATCCTCACAACTGGACCAATAAGCAGCATCACGACAAATGGAGAAAAGATTGAAGTTGTCAGAGACTTCATTTTCACGTTGCTCCACCATCAACACCGTGGGAAGCAGCAGTCAAGAAGAATCAGATGTGCTGTTGCACTGGGCAGTTCTGCTCTTTAAAGTGCTGAAGAGCAAAGATGTCACTTTGAGGACTAATGTGCCCCTAACCCAAGCCATGGTGTTTTCAGTCGCCTCGTATGTGAAAGCTGGACAGTGAATAAGGAAGACCCAAGAGTTGACACCGTTGAGTTGTGGTGTTGGTGAAGAATACTGAAAATACCATTAATTGCCACAGGAACGAACAAACCTGCCCTGGAAGTGCAGCCAGAATGTTCCTTGGAAGCGAGAAGGGCCAGACGTTGTCTCACCCACTTTGATCATGTTGTCAGAAGGGACCAGTCCCTGGAGAAGGATGTCATGCTTGGTAAGGTGGAGGGTCAGTGAAGAAGGGGAAGACCCTCAAGGAGACGGATCGACCCAGTGGCTGCAGCGACGGGCTCAGGCACAGCAGGGACTGTGAGGCTGGCGCGGGACCGGGCAGCGTTTCGTTCTGTTGTGCACAGGGTCGCTGCGAGCTGGGGCCAACTCAACGGCACCTGACAACAAGAACAGAAGACATTGTGCTGAGTCAGATTAGTCAGTCACAAAAGAACAAACACTGTGTCGAGACCACTACTGTAAAAAGTCAAGAAAAGGTTTACACCCAGAAAGAAGCATTCTTGGAAGGTTACCAGGGGTGGGAGCGGAAAGGAGGGTCAGTCAGTAACTAGAGGATAGATGTGTATTAACTTGGGAGAAGCAAAGGCAACATGCAGTGGGGGGAGGCCGACTGCCAACGATCAAGGTCAAGGGGGACACTGGGAGCAGCACAAGCATTAAAGGCACCAGGACGGCAGAGGCAGCAGGCAGCTCCTGCATCCCACGCTAGGCAGGGAAGTCCCGAGCCCCTGAGACAAGTGCAGTCTCAGGAAGGACGGCAGTGACACTCAGCACGGAGTGGTGGCCTGTTTGTACCAGCCATCTTGAATTTGGTTTCTGATCCTGAACGTACGTAAAGATGATTTCTTTTCAACAGGTGCGTGTTGCCCGTTATGTGCTGGGATGTTAAGAGTTTTGTTCGACAAGGAAAAACTGGACACGATTGCTAAGGTAAACTGCCTTGTCTCCCAGCTGCTGTTCGGATGTTCTTGCTACACCACGCAGGAGAATTCCGCCCAGCAGAGCTCTGTTGAGCTTCCTTGGTCAGGGTTCTCCTTGGCTGGCAGCCGGGAGCGAGGCCACTAAGGCAGGTACAAGGCATTCTTCCTTCTCTTCAGGGAATGTAAATTTTTTCTTTCCAGGTGACAAACAAAAAGCCAATAACGATTCTGGAAATACTTGAGAAAGTCCGCATGCACGTGTCCGTGCCCCAGTGCGACGTGTTTGGCTACTTCAGCATCGAGTCCGAAATTGTCATCCTCGTCATCCCGGTTGATCAGTGTCCCAAAGCTCTGCAGGTGGGTTCAGTGGGTCTGGGAGGCCACCTTCTCCTTTTTTAATTTGGGGGCTTTAGGAGGAGGGTCGGCACAAAGCAGGGTCCAGAGAAGGCTCGGGTAGTGGAAGGGGGAGCTGCCCGGCGAGCACTGCTCTAGGCGGCTGGGCCGGGTCCACGTTTGAACGCCAGGGAGCCGGAGGAGGAGAGCGCAGGGTACCGCGGCTCTGTGATTGCCGGGCTGGAAGGGAGCTGAGAAGCCATTGGGTCCTGGGTGCTTGTTGGACCACTGACGTGGCCAAGGCCCAGAGAGGGCGGGGCTGGCACGGTGACGCAGTGACAGGGCCAGAGTAGACACCAGTCTCCCAAATGAGTCCCCTGCGGAGGGAAACCCCACCGAGCTGGGTCTGTGGGTCTGCTTTCCCTCCTCACAGTCTAGTGGGCTGTGGGAGCTCCCTCACGAAGGCCCAGATTTCAGCATCTAAGTAGCGAGGGCTCCAGTGAAGGGGGTGCATGCCAGTGGTTTCTCACCTGCCATCCTGAGCCTCAGTAACAAATGGTTTCATCCTCATTTTTAAAGAGCAGTTAAAAGTCAGTTCCCTGCAGCTGTGTTTAACCATGTCGGGACTTTCTGTGTTCCGGTCCGCTCCCTGTCCACACATAGAGTGTGGGTAAGAAGTGACAGCCTGTGAGACAGTGAGAACAGGTTAGGGTGGGGACCCGGTAGGTCACAGTAGGTCGTGGTAGGTCACGGCACATCACTGCTCCTCTGGTATGATTCCCAGTGTGCTGCTACTGCTATGCAGTAAATGGGACTATAGTGAACTGTTGCTTTGCAGTTGACTGCTAACCAGAAGGTTGGTGGTTCAAACCCACCAACTGCTCCGTGGAAGGAAGATGTGGCAATCTACTTCCGTAAAGATTTACCGCCTTGGAAACCCTCTGGGGGTCACTGTGACTCAGCATTGACTCAATGGCAGTGAGGTTGGGTTTTCTTGGTTTGGCAAAGAAAGGGCCGAGGAGAGCGCGTTTCCCCGAGGCATCGCCATTGTGGAATTCTGTGCAGCTGACCACGACCTTCTCACGGGCTCTGTGGTTCCCGCTCAGATCGAGGCCTGCAATAGAGAAGCAGAGAAGATCGAATCCCTCATCAACTCTGACAGCCCCACTCTGGCGTCGCACGTCCCCCTCTCCGCCCTCGTCATCTCCCGGGTCCAGGTCTCCAGCAGCGTGCCGGCGGCCGGCACCAGGGCCCGAGCTCCGTGCCGCTGCTGCCTCCTCCTCTTCAGCCTGGGCCTCGCCTCCCCCCTGCTGTGGCCACAGAACTGACCGCCCACGAGAGGCGCCGCCGTTCCCTGCTCAGAGTCCTCTGCTTGGGGAAGGGCGTGGAAGTGCTGGCTTGTGACTGAGGAGTGGCCGATGAAAGCACGTGTCTCCTGTGCCCACCACAAAGTAGTCTCCAAATCTACCAGTACAGGTAGGATTGGGTCGGGTTTCTACAAATGTGAAAACACATGCCTTCAAACACTAGTGTATCTTTGTGGCGGATCACTGCCTTCTGGTTTCCATTTCGCTCATTAGCTGGGCCTCCACTCTAAACAAATGCAGTGTTTGTAAATGAGAGAACTGATCACTTTTTAGAAAGGTTACTCGCTTTACTACAGGTTTCATGTCACAGAGACTTCCTTTCCGTCTCTTTAAGTATTAAGGTTCCCGTGTGTGTGTGTGTGTGGGTGTGGGTGCGCATGTGCACACTCGTGCGTGCGTGTGGATGATTGCCTACTCTGTCCAGAAGCAGGGGTCACAGTGAAGAGCTCCTGCTATCTGAGTATAACATCAACAGAAAGCATCTTTGAAATGGTAATGTCAGGTATCAGTCAGATTTAAATTAATTCCCAGAAATTTAATTTGGGAACTCACTGGTCATGTGAAGCAGAAGCAAGCCGACCAAGTGGTACTCTGGTAATTATCTGTTGTGAGTGACCATCTCACCTGTCACTGATGCGGATCTGTGACTTTTGTAAAAGGGAGACGTTGTACCACCTCGAGGCTCCTTGCCTCATGCACCTTGGGTCCCCCAGGTGTGCGTTCTTAGCTGTTCGTCTGAGTTCGGGTGGAGTTTCTAAATATCAATCTTTAAACCAATTGCTGCTACTTAGCTAAGGAGCCCCAAAAAAGGTGAAAGAATTAGTATTCCTGTAAATAATACATGACTTCCCGTTTTATTATGAAGAAGGTAAATAGCCATCCCTGTAAAATGACAATCACGTGTGTTAGCCCAGTGCTGTCCTTTCAGGAAGACACACTTGCTTTCGGTGATATGCACAATGTAGATAAATGTCCTGTCTGCCTTTTTTTGATACAAAATTACAGAGAGTTATGGTTTATCTATTTAAAATGTCAATCTGAGTATTAAAGCGTTTGCGTGATGTCTAAGAAACTGAATGCTTTGAATATGTTTCCCAGTGGGACATAAGCTATTTGATATAACACTTCTTGTATATATGCACCTGAACGTACATTTTACATGAAGTATCTTGTTCAGTATTATAACCTGTACCTTCTGTACCTTCTGAGACACATGGGGATATGCTTATTATACCAAAATGTTGAAAGTGGGCACTTAAAGCTTCCACATGTCTCGGTGCTGATGTAGCATGTTGGTTGCAATTGATTTCTCTTATCAGTGTCTTCAATGCAATCTACTGGAGAGCTTTTCTATTTTAATAAAAATGATTTTATATGATCATGCATGTGTATTTGCAAATAGTGTGGACATTCAAAAATTAAACCATTGATCACCCTTGGGTGAGCTGTGTCCTCGGCTCTGGAAAGAAGTGTCTTAAGCCAAGGGCCCTGTGAGAACGTGGCGTAGCACAGAGTAGCAGGCCGGAAGAGCAGGAGAAAGGGGTAAAACCCAGTCACTAGTGCTCAGACGGCTCCCTTGTTACCCTCCTGAGAGGG